ACAATGCTGTGAAGCAATAGACCTAGTCTTTCGGTAAACGAAAGTTCCAGGGACCCGCTCGCGGAGTTCCCGATCTCCATTGTTGCAATGACAGACAGAAGATTCGCCATGGTTTTCAGTTCCCATGATCTGCCTAGCGTGCACAGGGAACCTCCGGGGACCCGAATCAGACTGTTAGGCGGCTTATGCGACCCCCTATCATATCCGCTAGGCTGGAGGTAACGGTTTCCACCCGAGAGTTAGAAGGCTAATTCTGATTAATAATTTCACCTCTCTATCCTCTTTTGGGTATTGCAGTTGTGCTGAAACTCCGGATTCCGAACCAACCAGCATGACTTGCGGACCCAGCTTTCGGGGAACGGGAGTGTCCAGGGCCTGGGGGGGGGCGCCTGCCTGGCGGTCGGGCGAATTCACAACTTCTGGGATTTCCATGGATGGCTCAAGGGCGATCTTTGCTTATCGCTGCATACACGTGAAATGATCCGGATCACGGTTGTAGTTGCACCCGTGAGAGGACTTCGGATAAGGAGTACTAAGCTGTTGCTGAGTATCTCTCTAGGGTGGAGATCAGCCAGCCATAAGACCGCGACTCGACGCTGTTTGCATCTACACCATTCTTCCTGTCAGATGAAGTGTTCATCTTCACATTCTTCCGATTGCACCATCGGTTTGTAAATAGATAGATCAGACGCGGTTTGTCACGTTCCCTTCATGCTTTTCATGCTCGGTTAAGCGCACGGTGTGTGTCTGGCCACCGAGAGGATAATAATAGGAGAAGATGGAGAGAGGATCGGCAGCCGTGAGAGACGCAATTGCTTTTGGTATTGTTACCCACCCATTACCGTTCTTTGTGACAGATTGCAACGAACTTCCGGCATCCGGGCACGCCAAGATGGCTTATTTTGGTTTAGCCGCTATTCGTCTTCATTACCCATTGGCCCGACTGCCACTCATAGAAAAATGTGCATTGTTATCTAATCAATATCTGTACAAGCACAAACACTCCGTGACACAAAGTGGACATTCTCTCCTCGATTGTCCGCCACACGTTCACCACCACTGCTCGGATAGGGCGAATGGGCCCCGTCCCATGCTCCTGAAATCGGGTCCAAGACTTCCCGAGCAGAACGTTGTGCGTTGTATCAGATTGGTTTGAAGGCGATCTCTAGTCGGTCTCCCAAACAATCGTCTTGTCCACAGAAAAAGGAAAAAAATGCGTTGTCCTTGTCATCCTCCGGTGGAGGCAAAATGAAACCTTCATCAATCCAACACCCTTCATCCAGGGTCTAGACTGGAAGCATCCGCTTAAACAAAGGGAGTGATCTTCGTCGATTACTTGGAGATCTGAAGAGTAATTCCTAAAAGGGGCTCTAAGTCAACTTAATTTTCCCCCTCTACGTCCCTTATCAACCCGATTTCCCAGGCCAAGCTAAATCCCCCCTTTGCTCCACTATCCCTGGTGGATTTCTATCATGTCCAAGTCCGACAATGAATGGACCATCCAATACCAGCAGAGGCATGAACTCTTCCATCCCTAGTAACCCCATGTCTAGCAAACAAGATTCGTTTCCTTTAGATTCAGGTAAGGAAGATGGCAGGAAGAGCACACGGAGAAAGGTGCGGGTCCACCATGATCAACCAAAACTGTCATCACGCTAATCAAATGTAATCAGGCTTGTGATACCTGTCAGCGCAAAAAGATCAAATGCGATCTCTCCAACAAAGCCAAGTGCTCGCAATGCGAGAAGATGGGAATTGCTTGCACCCGGAATCTGCAGAGATACCAGGCAAACTTAAGAAGGTCCGGCTAGTCATCACTTTGAAACGAATTAATCGCAACGAACATGGGCTGACTAGCTCGGTAAAGGCAGGCGATGATCAATCATCTGGAAGGAAGTCTTGAGCGCATGGAGACTCGTCTGCAGGGTCTTGGTTTTACCGTAGGCGAAAATGATACCATAATCGGTCCTTCATCATTAGAGGGGGTTGGTGATATCTCACCGTTGAGGTTGTCATTAAGTCCCACGGATCGTAGTCCTCAGGTTGAGGACGTCGATGATACAGATTGGGGCAACATCTACACAAGCCCGCCTCCAGGGTCGATCCGGTCTTCAGCGAGCAGATCCCCAAGCCCTCATATGCCAAATCTATTTGGGCAATCAAGTCAACCACAAGCGGCAGTACCATGCTTTAACGTTCCGAGATATCTCGGAGGTATATTGAACTCTGGCTGTAAGTTAAACCAAGGGCCACCTATCACCTCCTCCTGGTCTAATCTCAATCAGGCTTCTCGATGATTTCACAAGAAGGCTTAGAATGGATAGCGCAGAAGACTGGTGGCGAATCAATGGACCATTTAACACGCCTCGTCCTAGCGGAGGAGCGTGATGGTTTCATTGCTGACTATCCACTCCACTGCATATCACCCAGGAGAGTATTCTGTCCTCTCCCACCACAGGAGCATATCATACGTCTTGTCGAAAGGTATTTGGAGGACTTCAATGTCACATTTCCCTTCTTTAGACGGTCGGATCTTTTACTCCTCTTTGAAAGAGCGCATCTTGATATGCGCTTTCAAAGTCCAGGTCAGTGGGCTATCATGAATGCTGTTTTGGCAGTTGCCTACATGCTTCCTGACAATGGGGCTACTAAGCAGCCGGATCATCAGAAAAGCTGGCTTCTTCTAAAGAATGCTCTGGAGGCTGTCAACGAGCTTTATTTGGGTCCGCCCGATCTTCGGGGTCTTCAGGGTCTTCTAGTCATGGTATGCTCCTAGTCTTTGATATTCTTGGACAATTGACGTTGATGGTCATATAGGTTGTTCTCTTTATGGCGGCATCGGCTGCACGGCCTTGCAGTTTTCTAATATCCGTCGCTATCCATATTAGCGACCAACTGGGTTTGGGGACGACAGAAGACATCTCAATTTTTACCGAAGAGGAGAAACAGGAGCGGCAGGCGGTTTTTTGGCTTGCTTACTGCCTCGATAGGGAGTATGCACCTATGTCTTTCCGCAATCATCCCATACATGTCAGCTGACTCGGACAGAATCTCCTTTCGATTCGGTGAACCACCAGTACAAAATGACGAAGCCATCAGCGCAGCTCTACCATTGGATGCACCAAATTGTCTCGTCTACTCCATGCCAACAAACGACCGGGCAGGGACCTTCAGTGCCTTCGCATCCGCCTGTAAACTTGCACAGATCAGAGGCGAGATCTACCAACGCCTCTACTCCGCTTCGGCTACGGATAGGCCGTTCCATCAGATCCTCGCCTCAGTCGGAGATTTGGATAGGAAATTACAAGCATGGAAGGATAGTCTCCCGTCTGAGTTTCAGCCCGAATCACCTACACTCTTTCATTCCTCTCCAGTATCCTTGATACTACTACACATGCACCAGACATATTACAACTGCATGATCGCCATTCATTCTCTAATTGCCGCCCGAGGCATCAATTCTGCCCAGGATCTATCAGACCATCCTGGGTATACCATCAACCCTGACTCTTTATCCAATCCTAGGGTTCTACTATCAGCATCTCTGACCTCCAAAGCAGCGCGTGCTTCTATCAGCTTGATGAAGTATCTCCCGAAGGATGACATCTCCCTTGGGTAAGTTGGGCTTCGCTACCCCAACAACAGTTTACTAACATTGGCAAAGGTTAACGATGTATTTTCCCACCGTTGCATTAAGAACACTGGCCTCGAGTATTGTTCGCAATCCCCGCGATACAGGCCAGATCTATAATATGAGGATGCTCGACCAGGCAGAAGCATTTCTATCGTCGACGTGTTCAGGCACTACTAGCGAAGGGATGAAGCGATTGGTGAAGAATTGCGCCGAGTTTCGCTCGCTCGCTGAGAGGGCAATGAAGGAATGCGCTTAAACGCGGTTCCTTGGCATTATGCCGCGGTCGCATATATTTATCAGTGTACCGTTGATGATACCTGGTTGAGCTCGGAGGTAAGGGGATTGGCATAGGCGTACAGTGTTATGTCAAAAGTTTGCGTTGTCCACATTCCATGTTACCCGTTCCGCCTTCTTAATTAGACCGGATTGGAGCTATTCTGCCTACCAAGACAACATGTAAAGAGTCCTGCAACATGAAGTATGCCATAAAAAGCTACTAGATATGTTGGAACAGATAGCTAGTAGCCTACTGAGCAAGTAGCTAAGGTCGCGTGACCTCAAGGCTCAACACCATGTTTCTTCTTCCGAGCGAGTCCCAGATAGAGAGAATTAAATGTTCCTATGACTTTAACATTTATCTAAAATATTATTTCAACAAGTTATGAGCCCGGTTCTTTGCTTATGAAACTAACCAGTGAGAGTTATAAGAGATAAAGGCATTACCGGTACTAGTAAGAATACTACTAGGATGCTTTTTGTTCACTAGACATCGTCGGTAGAGCAAACATGCTCTACGAAGTATGAAGCAGTAAGTATTTTCACCCAATTCTTCATTTTTGCCGATGGCCGAGGCTGTTTTCATCAAGATTGTTTGCGGATAATATGAAGGATTCTCTTACACGTATTCAGCGATAGAAGCCTTTCGATTAAATGTACCCTACCATACCATGAAAAATCCAGAACGACTGCTACTCCCTGGAGTACGCCATAACCAAGTCTGTGAATTTGCTGGAAGATCAAGCAGGCGTCGAGTAGTTGCGTGCACAACATGCCATGAAAAATACGTTAAGGTTCAAAGCAAGAAGAATTTCGTATTCTTATGACTGCATTATAGTGCATTGGTATCACATCTTGCGTCGCTTGCTTTCTTTCCGATATCTCATGCATGTTCGAACCGTACAAAGACAAGGGATCGAAGAAAAGAAGCTGTGTCACACGACAGAAAGATAGCGCAGAAACACAAAATTATTGTGGCAAAAATCATCCAAAGAAGCAGAGGTGGTACAGATAAAGTTATTTGCAACTTAATACACGTGATGAGTGCGGTTCGGTCAAGAATCAAGGCTCATAGTGCTTGCAATACAGGTGGGAAGTCAGTACAGAAGGCGTCAACCTTCTTCTGGACTATGGCATTGAGTATGATCACAGCCCGGGTGACCATGACTGCCAGTGTTTCTACACGCGTGTTAATGACAGCTGGACCAAGATTGACTATACCAAGAATGCTGAAACATGGATAAAATCTTTTGTGAGGAGCAATCCTTCAGTTTTGGTACAGATTCCAGGAATCTGGTATATTGATGATTTATTTTCCATGAAGTTCATTAAGTCTTCAGCGAATAGCCATGGATGGGTCAGTCCGTGTGACGTCGAAGATATCTGGCGCGACACATTTGACTACTACTACCAGAAGTATGATGAGTTTGTATTCTCTATAACTATCCACCCAGACGTATCTGGGCGTCCGTAAGTATTGTTAATGCACGAAAGGTATGTTTACGCAATGAAAGTTTCTAAATCTTAGGCTGAAATCTAAGTATGCTCTAGCTTTGAATAACTTAGATCTTATCTAGGCTTATTTAATACTTCCTGAAGCATGGAGGAGTTGGGTTTGTCATATTTGTGGAAGTTTGTGACAATTTCAAAAGCAAGGATCTTCTACCGCCAGATGCTGCGTTGCCCGCTGACCCGGATGTTGTTGCAAAGAGGCTTGGGCTAAATTAGGACTGGATTATAGAAAGTCAGCAGCGCCGGGTTCTGTGCTTGTCAATGCCCTAATAAATCTAGTCAGGCGAGCATACCGCATAAGAATGGCTTTTGCTCGGAGCTTTTCTGAACTTCGTACCGTTTTTCAAGATAGGACGGGACCAGGTGCAATAGCGCAGTAGCCCTCGCAAAATCGCGGCGTGAAATGCCAAATGGGAACAAAGAAACTTTCCCGAACCCTGCGTATAAGGCTCGGACTAGACATCCGGCGATGGGAGGCTACATGAGGTCAATAGTAGAAATTGAAATAAATAAGGGAATAAAAGGGGGGGGGAAATAGAGATAGCGAAAACAGGACTCTACCAATCCAGTTAGTGTCCAACAGTGGGAAATGTGCAGGAGAAAAAAAAAATGACAAGAGTGGGATTCGAACCCACGCCATCTTACGATGATCAGGAAGCTGTGAAGCTGGGTATTAAGGTGGACCTTAACCTGACGCCTTGGACCAACTCGGCCATCTTGCCTTCAGTTGTTTGTATAGTGAGATTTAGAGCATTATCAAGGGAGGGTAAGTGTAACCTCCGCAACGCAGATTTCCATTAATGCGGAAGAAGTATGTCTTTGAGGGTAACTTGACAACAACATCCATAATGCTATTTGTGGTTGCAGTGAACAAGAAAATAGTCTAATTTTGCTTATAATTCGATTTGTAGTCAGTAATTCATCGTATTTACCACAGCGGGATCCAACATTTGATCATTCGAAGGCTTGCGTAGTCCAATCAGGCACCCCTTGGGCATTGATATATATATATACCTCGTGAGTACTAAATCAAAGCTCCACTAGATGCACTCATTCGGCATCATCCTACCTCATAACGTGATTTAAAACGAGATAGTTTATCATGGTTCAATTACCTTGTAATTCTTGATGATATTGAACTTTGCAGTATTTCTGCTACTACCCTAATGCACGTGTCCACCACTGATTGATCTCATGGTATTTGTAGTACTATACGATACTAAATCGGCCCAATCACAGTATAGTAAAATGACCAAAACAAGACTAGCGCAATACTACATACAACACAGAACAACGATACAGTAGGAATGCGCTGCACTGACAACGCGATAATGTAAATATCCTCCATATTTCAAATTCCCAATGATACAGCAAACAAGGGGAGTAAGGTTTGACAAGATCTCTCTGTAGTTGATCGACTTCTTCCCTATCCGCAGCAATTCCCCGTCTCCACGGTCGCAACACCACCATTGCCAAACCTAACTACAACTACACTGTAACAAACCCCGGTTGTTTACTTTTACTGCCCGTCCTCCACCCCCCAAGGCCCCCTCCCCACATCCTCAACATTCCTCCTCTTCTGCTTCACCGCCTGACTCGGATCCTACTTAATCTGCCTCATGCACCTCGCTAGTGGATCCCCGCCGGGCGGAAATAGGCGACTGCACGGATCTGGTATCGCCAGAAGGATTGGCTGGATATGCTTGTCTGTGCGATGTAGGTAGTATCCTGGCCTCGAACGCGTTCACAAGAGGGTTGTGAACCTCCTGAGTGATTACCATTGGTTGAATAGGAGAAATAATCAAACGAAGAGGATCGATTTCGCTATGCCACTAATCCGAGGTATAGTCCCTCACGATACGACCATTTTCCATCTCAATAACTCGATCTGCCCCCCTCACACTGTCAGGCCGGTGCGATACATGGAGAACCGTAAATCGACCAAACACATCATCGGTAACCTTCTGCATCAGCGCATCAGTAACAGCATCCGTGCCACTAGTTGCTTCATCTAGAATCAAGATGCCACCACTATCGCGACCATCACCGTCGCGACTCCATTTCCGCACCAGGGCCACTGCTAATGCGAACAGCCTTTGCTCGCCCTGGGACAGGGACGTTGATGTCAATTCCGCATCCAGACCCCCACGCGACGTGACAAGGGAAAGCAGGTTAGCCTTCTCTAATGCTGAAAGCAAGATTGAGTCTGTAGATCGACTAGTCGGGTCCAGGTTGAATCGAATAGATCCGGGGAGTAGAAAGGGGTCCTGGGGAATGGTGATGATACGGGATCGGAGTGCATCTAGTGGAACGGTGGAGATGTCTATCCAGTCAATTTTAATTGTGCCGCTCTGGGTATCGACGAGTCGAAGAAGGGCCGAGACCAGTGTACTCTTCCCGCTTGGGTCAACGTCAGTGGAGGATACAAATAGTACGTTTGCAGCAAGTACTCACCTGCCAGTCCGTCCACGTATAACCACCTTCTCTCCGGCACATATAGTCAGATTGATATCGTCCAATGCACTTGTGACGCCACTGTTGGTTCGTTAGTGAATACTTCAAACGTTGGCCGGAGGGAACGCACTCATAGGAGGCAGAAAGAGACCTGATCTCAATATTCCCATCAACAGGCCAAGTAGACGAAGGGATTACTGGTCTCTGGGGTTGATGCTCAGTGGGTGTTTTCATCTCAAAAGATCTTGTCCGTGCAATTGCACCAAGGGATGTTTCCAGGCCTGTCCAGCTCGTCACAACTTCCTGCAGGGTCTGGCTGAATGCCATTATTGCAGTCAAAGAAACTCCCAGTTTTCCCGGATCGGTCGAGCTTCGTAACGAGGTTGCCAGTGCAATCAGTATCACAGCCAAGCAAGCAACAAGAAGATCGAGAACAACGTTGAGCCATCGCTGGATGCAATAGAGAAGATAGTAGGGCTTTTGAGAATCGTCAAGCCGGCGTAAGCACTCTGCTACAAACGAGCGTTGCCATCCAAGGCCGCGAATTGTAGAGATACCGTCAAGAGTCTCCACGAACATTGTATACAATGGGCTCTTGGCTTCCAGGTCGAGGAACCGGAGCTGTCTGGATGTCCGCAAGTATACTTTCTGCGCGCAGTACAATATCAGTAAACATGGAATAATCGTCAGAGCCATGTAGCTGGAGCCCAGCGAGATTAAGGCAACTTGAGCGAAGCATTGCGCGATACCTGGAAAGTATTAGTGCTGAGTTACAGTAAAATTAACTGAACCTACTCAAAACCGTGCCAAACGCCATCGTAGGTAGTACTGCGTCGACAAGAGTCATGTCCTGGCTGAACCTGTTGAGGATGACGCCGGAATCGACCTCGGCGAAGAAATGCATCGGTGCATTGATTACGGTTCGGACCAGAATCTTATGTAGTCCCAATCCTGATGTAATGACGATCTTGATCATGATTTGCCTGTGGATGGTTAGCCTAGCAGACAAGCAAACTATGTCAAAAGCCCACCATATCATTAGTCCCTGCGAGCCTGAGGCGGCTACAGCAAGTAGGACGTAGACGCCAATAAACTGGGCGGCCTTCTTTCCATTATCATCCGTAAATAACTCCAACCATATTTCTACAAACCCATCAGCTGAATCGAACCCACGGCCACGAATGCACTTACGAGGGAACACGGAGGAGAATGTGTGTACTATAATAATTGTGCAGGCGACCAAGGTATGGCGCCATCCGATCGCCTTCAGGTAGTAGGTGTAGACGGCAGTATCACCCATACGGCGGGATATATCAGCTATGTCATCGACAGTCAGTGTTTCAACTTTTTTGGTAGATGTCTCCTCGCCGCTGTCAGTGAGGATAGTCGGGGTCTCTGGAGTGGCATCCGTCCTGTCTGGATATACTTGCGAGGCGGAACCTAAGCTCCGCCTGGAGCCTTGCTTTTCGATCCGTCCACTAGAATCTAGTATGACAACATTATCTGCGAAGCGCAGCTGCTGGTCTAAACAGTACTTTAGTTCTAACTGCACACATTATCGCGGAACAAATACTAACCTGAATGGGTTGCCATTATTACACCAACACCTATTCGCCTGCATATTCCATTATCGCCAAATAGAGCTTCTGCGACATACTGCGCGGTCTTATTGTCAACGGCACTTAGTGCATCGTCTAGCACAAGGAGATTCTTCCTCGAGTAGATAGCCCGAGCCAGTGCCTATAGTTTTGTTAGTGACGTGACAGTAATATGTCTAGGGTGATGTACCAGACGCTGCTTCTGTCCTCCACTTAGCTTGAGAGCCCCGCTACCGACCACAGACTGATCTCGCTCTGGCATTCGAGATATGTCCTCTTCTAAAGCACATGCCCTTAGTACCTCACCATACCACGTATGGTCTATCTCAGCATAACCACAGATGTTATTGCGAATAGAGGTGTTTTGGAGCCAGGGAACTTGACTGCAATAGGCAGAATCCGGCCGCGTTCGTGTAACCGTTCCTTGGCTACATGATATCTCCCCTACGGCTGCCTTTAACAGGGTCGACTTCCCAGACCCAACCGGGCCAGTAATCATTGTTACTGTACCTGTCTTGATGATTAGATTAATATTCTCAAGGGAGAACGTGGACCCAGTAGCTGGACGGATATAAGCGTCCGTCATGGTAAGAACAACATGGTCGGAGGCCTTTGGTGCCAAGACCTTCAGTTCGACCGCCGATCCGTTTCTGGTAGAAAGGCCTGACTCTGTGTCTAAGCCTCTCTCAGCCGGTGAGTGGTCTGTGGGAGAAGTGAGGAATTTGTGAATTCGGTCAAAGGCACCTAAAGCGGCAGTTATTGCAGGAATTGATGCCAATAACTGTAACGCCGGGCTTGTGATAAGGCTAATAATTGCAAGGGATGTAAACGCTTGTACGGTTGACAGTGGTTCCGAATGATCGATTTTTGCGCGTATGACAAAAGCTGCAAATGTGACAAGAGAGGCACACATCTGAGGCAAACTTGCTTCATGTTGTCAGCCAACTTGGTTCAACGCCGGCCTAGAGTGAGTTACTTACCAACCACGTTCAGCCACACGATCAACCATCGGAAGTCCCTAGACAAGTCTAGTTCGCGCTCTCGTTGCGCCTGAAGGGTATTGGCGAGCACTCCAGATAGACCGAGCATCTTGACACTCTTTATTGATTTCAGTGCCGAGGATATTATGCTGACTCGCCGTTGGATTGCACCGACCCAGACTTTCTGCCTGGCAGGCATGAAGGTGGCCATATACATCTGAACCGATGTGCATACTATAATGATTTAGTGAAAGGGCTATGTTATGTCAAGTATGACCTACCGAGGATCACAAGAATCGGGGCAACACAAACAGCAGCAAGCTGCAGCTCTAGCAGCCAAATACCGATAGCAATCTCCACCACGCGGGCCCACAGCTCGCTAGCTTGCTCTAGAGACCGCGCGATCATGTCAATGTCAGTACTCATTAGCGTAACCGCAGCCGATTCATCGCGAGTTCCATCTGGTAGAACCATGGTGTGATCGTAGATCAAGGCAACTGCTGCACCTCGGAACATCGTGATCATACGAAATAATTGGTGCTTGTAATGCACCGTTGATATCTAACTCCGTCAGTTTTGTCTGAGAAGTTCAGTAGGTAATGCAACTGCATACCGCGATCCCACTATAAATGAGCGCCGCTGCCCCAATCAATCCGTAGCCTTCATTACGGGTTAGCTGCGTATCTGGTCTGTGTAGCTGCTCAATCGCACGCTGAATGAAGAACGTCTGAGCATAGCTGAATCCAATGAGGCAGAGCCTGGGGAAAATAGTACGCAGAACTGCCCAACGCAAACTGATAAACGTCGCAAAAACTAGGCTACGCGTCTGGCTGGACTGGTACTTTTTCCAGGTTCCTCCAATCTTTCGCCTCAGACCCTCCGACTTCAGGTCGCTGTCCGTCGGGAACAAATCCTCGAGCGTCAAGAGCTTCCGAAAACCGCTAACAAATAGACGATTCAACCACCAGAAAACGGTGCGAGCAATGAATCCACTGGTGGACTCGGGCGGGATTGCGAGAAGTGGTTCTTTGAGATAGCCGCGTTTGTCTTGGGCTTCCAGAGTCAGAAAAAGAAGCTTGAGTGCAACAGTTGCTGCAGAGAAAGCTCCGAGGGAGGACGGGTAATGTCGAATGAACAATGTGCGCACTTGCACAGCATCGAAGAGGGCTGAAAAAAGGAGATAGATGCTCAATAGCGACGATGGGCGTACTGAGCGATTGTGCTCGATGGTTGATAGAATAGCTATTGATAGAGCGTCGACCAGTGACAAGGCGACTGCAGGAATGGCAGTCCGGACTAAGTCATAGCGCGCCCATTCAACCACCGAGGCGATCTGTAGAGCAAGAAGACAAACTGCGACGGTCTTCATTTGGTCAGGTCCGGTTCCTGGCAGGATTATGCTGTTTTTATAGGGAGGCAACTGACCAGTTTCCGCCAATGGGCGTTATTTGCAACCGTTTTGACATTCTCTGGATAGAGCGACCAGATACGCCATGGAACCAGGAGGAGAAAGATGGCGGATGGGCCAATGGAGAGGATACTTTGTTCGAAGAGCAGAGTGAAGTCAAATGTTGCTGGACACGCGACGACCGGTCCGAACAAGTCATCAGCAGCGGGGGAGCAGCTACCCGCCATGGTTATGTGAGGAGGGAAGCATACAGATATGATAGATGAGGCAGATGGAAGTATGTTGAAAACGCAATCTTGGCGACAGCGAAAGAGAGAAATAATGCACAGTGATGAGGATGTGAAGAGAAGAGATTGGAGGGCAAGGGGCGCGATAAGATTGAGATTGTGATGGCTCGTGACTGACCAGGGTCCCTGGTTTGGTGCGTCAGCGCATGGCAGCCTGGAGGCGGCCTGAAGCGCTCCCTCCCTTTGTCCCCTATTATGCTTACGCTTTGTTGTTAACCATCGGTCACTGAATGAGCTTGAATATAAGAAGCTTTCAGCCTTGTTGTTACATGAGAAATCGCATCCGAGTTCTACATTGGTTGAGATATGCGACCGGAATTTGCCTACATGACAAAAACCTTCCAGAGTTATCTCGGGATTCCCAAATTGGGTGGAGCCGAGAGGTCAGCGCGCCCTAATCGCGAACATATCGTTCATAGTAGTGTGTCTACTCCGCAATGTATCAAATGGAAGCCTAGAGCTTGAGATGTGCGACTTCTAGCCACCCGGTTATTCCAATACAGCATGCCTTCCACTGAGTCCGATAATAATCTACCATATTCCTAACCACTGTCTCATTCAGTCCAGTATGGCTCCGGCATCGAACAAGCACCCTGGCACGTAGCTTCCTCCTTTAGAGGAAACTCACTATGGCCGACAGTATCTTTCACTTCAGAAAGATGAACGGGATTCCTCCCACTCTCTCGAACAGCCCTCCACAACGGCTCCGGGTCCCTGCACTGATGGGCATGTCCAATCCCGTCGATAACGAGGATTCGGTTCCCAACTTTATTGAGCGCTGGATGAGGTGGTTCAATAGTACCATCTGCTGCACATATTATGGACTTGTCATTGTCAGTATCCTCGAACTCTAATGCGCCCAGAAGGATCATTCCACTTACCTGGGCAATATAATCAAAACAATGAGCCCAGTGCACTGCATCTTCATGTTCATCACCAGAATGTGACGGCGAGGTCGAAGCACCATGATGCTGAGAGGTTTCAGGGAATATTAGCCCCCGAAGAACAGTTAGGCAATGAAGCTGATGGAACATGGAGATCCCGTAGTCGGTAATGGTGTTGTTATCCGTCCGGACCTTCAGAATACCGCCGTTTTTGGGGAGAAGAAGAGATTCCCATGAGAGATGTGTATCATGAGGTAGAAAACCATCGGATGTAGCGCCCAGTAATGGAGTCAATGATTGAAATTTCCGGATGATTGGGGCTGTAGGCCGAGACTCGCTTGGACAAACATGTATGTGGAACTTTTGGGAGAGGGTGGCTAAGCTGCCGGTTGATGCGTATATGATACCAAGAGTTGTGAAAAGGAAGAAGATAAGTGTTGCTAGTATACTATAGAGGAAGCGTGTTTGTGTGGACATGTTGGGCTTTTTTTGGATCTCCAGTTGTTAGGGAGGGCAAGGGGGAGACCTTCCAACTACAAAAATTGCTCAAGCCAGACATGCCAAGTAAGATGCAGTGGGTGAGGATCCCACCTCACCCGTGTGTCGTGATGGCATCGGGTGAAACGCACAGGTTGTCTCGTGCATGGTGCGGTTACATCGCAGAATCCCTATTCTGGGAGCGCACATTGTGTCCCCCTAGAAGGACCAATTGATACTGACATGTCAGCTAGAAAACTGGGATGCATGCAAGGGGGCATGCATCGCCATTACATTTCCGGGGGGTAATTGACCAATCAATAGCTATACAGTGTCTTATCAAATGCTTGGTGGCGCCTGCAGGGATGGAAGATCCAGCATGCTTAGGCTAACGCTACAACTCACACGCTATTTACAGCCTAACCCCACTCTCATCCTTCCGCGGATAAGCAGCCGATCATGAACATGATGCTACCATCCAAGTACTCGACCACGCAAGCTATGATCATCCAATGACCCCACTGTCCGAGCCATCATCCGGATTGGACTTGTACCAACCAAATAACTCCTTGAATCGATGCGACATGACCCGGGCCTCTGCTTCGGGGGGTTTTCTAATGGCTGCAAACTCATCCACATCCACCGAGTTCTCCTCCTGCCAGCGCAAGATGGCGTCAAAATCACGACATTTGTGGTTCACATTAAAGTCGGGGAAGGCGTTCAGCTGCGCATCCGCCCAGTAATGGGTGTAGATGTCGACATTAGCGTTGCACATCAGGTTCTGGAGCAGCAGGTAGGTGCAGTGGGAGATATGCGTCCGATGCATGTCAGAGGGCGGGGTTCCCGGCGGCCACTTCTTTCCATAGTAGTGGTCAAAGTACGCTTCACGCCGCAGCCAATCCAGACAATGGATCTGGTGGAAGACATCCAGTCGCCCAATGTACGCCTCGGATCCAAAGCCAAAGCTTTCGGGCCATTTGGCTGCCTGCTCAGGATCCCTTCCCAGCTTGGCCACGTCATCACGACTGATGGCGATGGGGTTAATGTTCGCCAGTCGGTTCCAGGCTGCGTCTACCTCGGGGCTAGGGGGTTGGCGGTAGATGGGAAGGGGGTCTGGCTCCAGCAGCGTCGCATTCATTTTCTTGCTGATGAGGGGTATCTCAAGGCGATCGAACACAGGAGCTGCAACTGGTCAGTAATCTGAGATGACGGTCATAGTCGAGTCACACTCACAGTACTCGGAGGTCTTCCGTAAGAGATGGTTTGGGTCGCCAGTGCCCCGAACGATGCTGACAGTCATGGCAAAGAGAAAGAGTGACAGCGCAAAAACAGTCGCATTCAGCCAGAGGAGCAATTGAAGGCGTCTATTGGAGTGTTGAGGCCATTGGGGTGCTTGCTTCAAGAGAGATACATCGTCCTCGCTTTGCGTATTCTCAGAGACGCTGTAGACCACATCGTCGTTGTCTCTGGTCCCCAGCGGCTCGTATGATGGAGATGCAGCAGGCTTCATTTTCATCATTCTCTGTCAGATTGAGAGAGAGAAATTGGCAGAAGATTGGAGCTGTTTGTCGGTGCAAGGAAGGTCAAATATCCTCGCTACTTTCATCGTGGTCAGCTGAACTGCGCAACACCCCGTGGAAATATGAGGCTCATCAATCGTCTGTCAAGTATGCATTAGTGCTCGTGAACTGTCGCCACCGCAGATGTCATCCAACTACCTTCATTGAGGGATCGCTACGTTCTTTCCTAATTGAAACAGGCGCAGATACTTGCTGCTGTCACAGTCACACTGGTGTGAGCGGATACTACACCTTGGCTGTGTAGCTGTTTCACCCCGCTTGATCACGGGCGATGACCGGGGAGATACGAGCAGCACGACCGATGACCGAAGTCCACATAAATAGGCCCCTTCCTCCTGCCATCTTGATTGTTGAGGCATCTTTTGTTCTACCTTCAAGTCCCCAGCAGATTTCCGGAAGCCCACCTAGTCCACAATGAAGTATTCGCTCCTCCTCTCAGCCATCTATGGACTGTTGTTGAGTCCCATGGCCATATCTGCGCCGACAGCCAAGCGTATGCAACCCCCGGGAAAATTAATAATAGAGAATATTATGCCACTGACACACATCAGCAGCAGTGACCCTTCGCGTCAGGTCGGAGGACTTCCATGCTCTTCGGGAGAGAGCAGGCAACGAAGCCACCGCGTTGTATGGTTATATTGTCGCCGACACCGAGATCGACGACAAAGAGAAGCGCGATGACGAGGCCACTGCGCTATATGCGTACATTGCTGCCGACTCGGAGCTGAACAGGAAACGTGATGACGAAGCCACTGCGCTATATGCGTATATTGCAGCCGACTCGGAACTTGACAGAAAGCGTGATGACGAGGCTACTGCATTGTATGCATACATTGCAGCTGACAGCGAGTGAGCCGGAGATATTAAGCTCTGGTGTATGCTGCTTTGCTGGAGCACATGGTACTGGTCTATTAATCAGGCGCTGCATTGCTTCTTGCGTAATCCTGAGATGACGTGTCATATAATGATCGTATATGTTCCCTCTCCCTGGGTGCGGTACATGTGTTAGTCAATTGATATAGTTTCGTGGGATTTATATGACCTACCTATAAGAACCTGCTCCGTCCCAAGATTGATTATCCCCACAAAATATTCCACCTCGCCCACTTGCTCCTCCGAATGGGTACATTATCCGGATCGTTGCGACACCCAAGAAGAGCCTGCTCCAGCGGTATCTCGTAACTCGATACCGTTTCTGTCTTTTTCCAGAACTTATAGCCCAGATAGAAAGCCAGTACGAGCGGAATATCCCTACCCCTAGTTAGTACAACGACATCCATTGACACAGGATGCAACTCACAAGTACGACGACACAAAACTCGAAGCATCCCAATTGCCATGAGTAAACACCGTGAACCCACCCGTGAATAGAACAATCACACACATCACCAGAGCAAACCAGGATGTATAAACTATTTTCATCAGCCACAATGCATTCCTGAAAAGGTATTGAACCACTCACCAGACCACCAATGATGCCACGGCATCTCCGCCGTATCCAACCCCTGCGCCTTGAACCCCCTCATCAGCCTGATATGATTCAACGCAATCGTGCCCCACGAAATCAATACCCCCGCCGCCGTCAAATCCAACAACCAATTAAACACCGTATAAGCCTCGTTCTGGCACGTAAGGTACGCTAACGCGGACACAGCAATCTGCGCCACAGCACAAGCATACGGTACACCATGTCTTGTCGTCCGCAAGAACACCGCCGGGGCGTGGCCCTTTAGCGCGAGACCGTACAACGTGCGCGTTCCAGCCAGAATACTCTGATTCGATGCTGACCACGCAGATGTCAACACAACGGCATTAATAATCGACGGTACTACTTTAATCCCTGCATCGGATGCAGCGATCACGAATGGACTCTGCGCTGCCGTGCCGGATTCACTGCCCAGTCGGGGATCGTTACTAGGAACTATCATCCCGACGATCAGCACAGCGAGAAAGTAGAAGATAGTAACGCGCGCGAACACGCGTTTACATGCGCGGGGGATGTTTTGTCGCGGGTTCGCCATCTCCGCTGCTGCGATGGTCAGACTTTCCACCCCGGAGAAAGAGTATACGGCATTTGTCGTGACGGCCCAGAAACCGAGGAATCGGCCCCACGGTCCTGAGGCGATATATTGGACAAACGGGCCGGGGTCTTTCCAGTAATGAAACCCGAGACGCGGAGTACCTGAAACGCCGCCGAGGTCGATCACCAAGCCCATGAGGATGATGCCGATGATGAGGAGGATCTTCAGAATGGCGAAGACGAACTCTACTTCTCCGTAGACTCGGATGAAGAGCAGCGAGACGATTGCCGAGATGACGATCAGGATCGTCACCCAGATAGCGGGGTTGAGGGTGTCATTCCAGTACTGGATTAGGACGACAGCCGCGGAGATCTCGCTGGGCACGGACATGAAGCAACCGTAGACGACGTTCCAACCTATCGCGAAACCGAGAGCCGGATCGACGAGCAGCTCGACGTGTCGGACAAAAGAGCCGGTCACGGGCATCAGGGCTGACACTTCGCCTAGGGCAATTTGCACGGCGCAGACCACCAGGCCGATCAGTAGATAACCGAGTAGGGCGCCGAGCGGGCCACCGGTCTGGATGGAGCTACCTAGACCCAGGAAGAGTCCGGTTCCCTGGTGGGTTTTTCAGTACGTAGTACGAATATTGACATTTGGAATTTTGCGAAGAAGGGGGGATGACCTACAATGGCACCCGCGATGGCTATCATCTGGGTATGGCGTTCTTGCAACCCCTTGCGTAGATTCTGAGCCTCTTCATCGTGGACGATACGTGGTGTGCGGTCACCGACTTTGGGGAGGGCAGGCCCTGGTTCGAGGGTGGGCGAGATATAGACATCTGGGTCCTTTTGGGTATTATGGATATCATCCATGGTGGGTTCTCAATATTGAGGCCGATGTGATGAGAAAAAGCAAATAATCCACGATAAGCTGAGTGGTGGGGGGAAATGGCGATCACTTTATGCTGGCGATACCGCAGCAGGTTGAATTGGTGTGATTGGGTCGATAAAGCACACCAGGCGATGGCGACATTCCGGCGCCGCATGGGATCTTTCCTATCACTCACCGATTGTTGATAATGATTAATCCTGTGGTCTTTTCGTCTGCCGCTATGGTGATTTTGGCATTAGTATGTGGATCTGATAGTAGCCACTATGACTAACAAGCAATAAATGTTATCGGGAATCCCGTCGCCCCATCACCCTATATCGTCAGTCTTGGCAGCATGCAATGTTTTCTTTTTCCGACCAGCAGATCCTGCACGCCGTCAGAAACTTCAGGAAGCTGCGTAATCGGAAAAGCAAGTGCTAATTACAACCAAAGAATGAGCGATTGCATCTGATTGCGGTCGCGCGAATGGCGTTTCCAACTCTGATTACGGATTGTCAAAGCTAAGCCCTTCCAATGCTACAGGGCTCTTATGAGCTGCAGCTGGTCCCAATCCCACGGGAAGCCGGAGTTTGTATTCCGGAGCAGTGGAACGAGCAGACGTCTGTGTAACTTGTCGCATTTTCTGTCACGGTCGTCAAGATGAACACGAGAGATGCCTGTAGTTGCCAAGCCATGCAGGCTAAAAATAACTTGACGACGAACGACAGCAGTCACTAGCATGAAGAAAATCAACATCACAAGCAATGAGTTTTATTTCAAATTAACAGCCAAGCTCGGTCTTTTGTTTAACATCAAATCTAAGCCATTATACATCATACGCCATAATTCAATGAACATCAAATACCCTTCCGACCGCCCGAACAACCGTTACTCCAGAGGGGTTTGTCACGTCCCGGACATTTCAAGATCGATAGAAGTCATCTAATTAACCCCCATGCTTTCTTTTCCTCACTCGAGGGCGAGCCCAAGATCTTCGTCATCCCCCGCTAGATCTTCCACGGCCATCTCGGCCTCAGCGGCATCAGCGGCTTGTTTCATGGCGATCTGCTGCTCTTGCTCCTCTGGTGATAGGGCCGCGAAAGCCGCTGTGTTGGCATCCCAGTCCGCCACACATTGCTTATTCCAGTTGCACTGTTCAACTTCGCCGTAGAGAGGGTGTTTGAAACGCGGGTGGGTGTTGGGCCACCCCGACGCGTGGTAGTGGTGCTTAACCAGCGCCGATCGCGCATTGTGGTTACCCGAGTCCGAGTGACCCTGGCCTGCAGCAAAGGCCTCCACTGTGAGCACTAGGATACCACCCACTAACTTTGACTCGGGGATGTCGTGGAACGTCTTCCATGTCACTTCCTGGCCAGTGCGGGCGCTCATCTCGGCCAGTACAGCTTCCGTAAAGGCGGACGGGCCGGTTCCGCTGATGATGTCGTCGAAGTCAAGTTCGAGGTCAGAGATGGGCTTGCCCTGCTTGACAGAGTGATCGTGCAGCCACTCGAGGATGCGGTTCACCAGCCGCATCATGACTGGTTGGCGTGGTTTGCTGATAAAGGTCCATTGGCAAAAGGATTGTGACTTGGGACCCAGAATGGCATGGTCATTGAAGTCGGGTTCGTCGATCTCGACACCAATCACCAGGTCCATGTCCGCTTCGTTGAAGCGTTCGGGGATGAAGCGATCTAATGGCCGCAGGGCTTCGACGTCGATATCAGCGTATACTCCACCGTCCACGTACATTACGAGGTAGCGAAGTAGATCGGCCTTGATGATCTTCGCGGTCAGGGAGCGGTAGGTCTCGACAATGTCGGGACGATTGAGGCCATCAGGCCCGAAGTTTGTTTCAACATAATGTAGGTCGTTTTGATCTGTCAGCACCTCGTAGCGGTATCCTGGATTAATAGAGGTCCAGGTACGCGCCACGTTCAGGTCACGCTCTTCAAACTCGAAGGGATTGACCTTCCATGACTGCCATATCTTGCGGGGGAAGAGCCTGCACTTGCTCTGACGCGCGAGGCTCCCGTGAAACTCGGCGAAAGTGCCTGTAAGCGAGAGATAGAAAACTAGGCAGAAGACTGCCAGGAAGAGCGGCACCACCCGGCGAACCTGTCGTGGAAGACAGACACCGGACATGGCGGGCATGGCAGGCATGGCAGGTATGGGAGTCTTCAACTGCATTGTGACGGACTGGCCCAACTGACCCATGAGGGGGATGAGAGACGAGGGGTTCGGCGGACGAGCAAAAAAAACCACACGCTGCTGAGGGCCAGAATGTTTATGAGCCAGAGCGAGCCGGTCTGACCAGATCAGCTCTCCCCGCAACGCGCGGCCAGAAACCAGCGCCATTCGGACCTGACCAGGGCAGTTCAGGGCATTGCATTTCGAAGCTATATTACGGGCTCCACCCACCTGCGTGACACTAATGCTCTTAGCTTCACGAGGGCCCGGCTGAGAGGAGCCCGCTCGGTGTGCCTGTCGAGCGATTGGGTCGAGACATATCGCACCCATGTCGATCGCATTTGCCAGAGCCCGGGGTTGCTCAATGCTACCTCGGGTCTTAGTCTGCTAGCTCTGTCCGGATGGGAAATGAGTCCGACGCATGTGCTTCTGGGCCAAGACACGATAAGCTGACTACTGCTCTGCAATCTGTCGATCCGACAGCCCAGCTCGGGATTTTGGGAATTCTGAATGTCACCAGTCTTTCCCTCAAATATCGCCCCTCATCTTCAGCCAGCGAGACTCCGTCTTGACGACGCGTTTTGCCCGACTTGTTTTTCACTATGCCCGTCCGCACCCTCTCGCCAGATCGTGAAAAGTCCATTCTGCCCCTCTCGGTGGATCTCCGGAGCAAAGCCCGCTGGCTCAGTGTGCTCCTACCGTCTTTCTTGTCCTGGGGTGGGAGCAGCACTTCGTCAACGGGGAAAGCCCGGCGGACAGCCTACTTAGACGGGCTGCGCGGGTTTGCAGCCTTCCTGGTGTACTGGGGGCATCATGAATTATGGGCACACGATGGCATGGGTGCTGAGCGGATCTTTGAAAATGCGTATGGTTACGAGAAGCAACACTTCCTGGTCGCGTTTCCCGGAATTCGCACCTTCTTTTCCGGTGGGCACTTTGCGGTCAGTGTTTTTTTCGTGCTATCGGGCTATG